CGATAAGCAAGTAAAACAGCAACAACGACCAAGACTTGCCCCACGCCAGTTGGTGGAAGCAGCTTGGGGCTAAGCTAAGGGGATGCCCTCTTCCCCGCCTCCCAGCAACCAGAAAAACCAGTCTGTTGGTTAATGACAGCAGGGTTCTAAGTCTCAACTGCAACACGACTTGAACCTGCGGTTTTTATTTGCCATGACTCCAAAATTCAAAACACTGTGCAATTAGGGAGAGAGCTGGGAGCCGCGTGACGGTGGTGCTGAGAAGCCAGAGGCACAGCTCGCGGTGGCTGGGCACCCCCTGCCCCTGCGTCTAGTCCCCCTAACGCCCCCCGGGAGCACGTGCTCTCGTTATCCCCGTTTTACTGGCGAGGACACACACTGATGCTGAGCACCGGCAGGTCAGTTGCCCAAAACAAGGTGAAGTCGCTGGTAAAACACGCGTGGGCTGCGCTGTGAACTCAGCCTGATTCCCGCTCGTCTATAATGAAAGGCTTGTTTTCTAAAAACTGCTTTCCTGGGGCACCTGCGGGGCTCCGTCAGCTAAGAGTCTGCCCTCGGCTCAGGTCACCATCCCGGGGTCCTGGGTGGAGCCCCGGGGAGGGCACCCTGCTCAGTGGGGAGCCCGCGTCTCCCTTGCCCTCTGTCCCCCCCCCCCCGCTTGCTCTAGTTCTCGCTCGCGTGCACGCTCTCTCTCTCTCTCCCTCTCAAATGCATAAATAACATCTTTAAAATAAGTAAATACATAAACACCTGCTGTTCTGGTGTCAGGGAGCAAGAACTTACTGTCCCCTTGAAGGTCCTTCTAGCTGGACTAGGGTCTAACTAACGAGGGACACTGGGCAGGGGAAAACCAGGTTTACTCCGTAGGCACAGTACAGGGGCCGTACACAGACATGTGTGACCCTGGGCCACGGGCCAGGGTGGCCGTCGACAGCATTGACCCCCGATCATGGGCCCATCTGGCCTCGATGGCAGTGACCCTGGGTCACGGGCCAGTATGGCCATCGACAGCAGTGACCCCCGGTCATGGGCCTGTGTGGCCGTCGATGGCAGTGACTCGCTCCCTGGAGCAGGTCTTCTGGTAGAAAGCTTTTCCTGAAGCTGCTGGGTTTTGATTGTTTTTTGACTAAAAAAATAATCATCATGCCAAAGGAGCCCGTTTCGAGGTGGCCTGCCCTGGGCCCCTATACCTGTAACTCCCTAAACTCTATGGAACAAAATCATTTCTGCAAAAAAAAAAAAAAAAAAAAAAAGGAAAGAAAGAAAGAAGAAGAAAGAAAGAAAGAAAGAAAGAAAGAAAGAAAGAAAGAAAGAAAGAAAGAAAGAAAGAAAAGAAAAGAAAAGAAAAAAATTTTAGGGAAGGAAGGGAGAATGTCATCATGTTCCAATCGTTGATCGCATTACAGGCCTGGTAACTTTTCTAGATTGGCTTGGAGGTTATCAGATACAAATGGACCCAGCTGGGCCTCGGGGGGGCGGGGTGGGAGGGCTGCGACCCGAGGATCCAACCCGGAACCACTGCTCTGAGTCTCCCTTTCCTTCTCTGTAGAAAGTGGGCCATGCTCGTACCTTCTATGGGAGCAGGTGGCAGGGAACAAGGGGGCTGACACCTGACAACTAAAACACAGAGAGAAACCAGGCCTGGACTTTGGACTTTTTTCTACTCGAAGGAATGGAGGTGCGCAGTCAAGACAGCAGCGAAGCGCGACGTGGGCGACCGCCCGCACTCTGGGCGCCTGTGTGGTCGGAGGCCTTGTGCTCGGAAGACTGGGAATATTTGCACTTTCTGACACTTCCCACTGGAACAAGTGTAAATGGATTGTGCGAGCCATCAGTCAACATTGAGTCAAATGCGGATATTAAGAAGAAACAAATCCAGAGATCCTTTCTTTCACTAATCTTTAATTTCTTTTTTTTTAAGATTTTATTTATTTATTCACAAGAGACACAGAGAGAGAGCAAGAGAGGCAGAGACACAGGCAGAGGGAGAAGCAGGCTCCATGCAGGGAGCCCGACGTGGGACTCGATCCCGGGTCTCCAGGGTCACGCCCTGGGCCAAAGGCAGGCGCTAAACCCGCTGAGCCACTCAGGGATCCCTAATCTTTAATTTCTACCCCAAAGCAACTGTACTTTTCATCACACCTTATTTTTTTCTGAGTTTGCCTTTGTATTATGAAGCCAATGGGATCAGGGTTTCTTTTACTGTGGGGACAGAAATTCTTTTTCTTTTCTTACTTATTTATCTTTGAATAATTCCTAAGAAAAGTCTCCTTATTTTGAACAACACGACCTTGGCCACTGGATGACTTTTAGTGTAATCGTGTTTACCATCTCTGTCTCGCTCTCCTTTTTCTGCTATCGGCCTACATGGTTGTCTTAGGAAGCATTTCTGTTCTTCTGTGTTCCTCTAAAATGCGTTACAAGCTTTTTTTCCTTTGCCCTGAAATTTTCTTTAGGTCTACCTGACTTATTAGGTGATTAGTATTATCTTCACATTATAAAATTGCAGAGTAGTAGATTTCCACCTTTGTGAAAATAAATGTGTGGTTCCCAAGTGTTTCCCGGCTTCTCCGTGGAATCCAGGTCATGTAAGGCTACTCCGTGGTTAAAAGGGATGTCTATTTTTTTTTTAATATATATATTCCAGATTTCATTGTTACTTTCTGTTTACCCCTCACATCTCAGAACTAGTAGTCTCCGGCACAAAATTCCAAAATAACAGACCACTTTACCGACCTTACCTCCGACGCAACTCACTAAAAAACTAAGAAAACGTACAAAAACACCGAGTGGAAGACCAAGTGCCATGTCTCTTATTATGTAATAGACAGAAGCCAGGAGTCAGCTATGGAAAAGCTCTCAGATGCAAGTGTGGGGGCCACAGGCCACTGGAATGAGCTTGCTGTGCGTCGCCGCCCCTGCACCGGCCTCTCCTGGGTGACACGCACGACGCTGTAGGTCTACCCCAGGTAATAGGACCCGCTGGCCTTGGTATAAGACACGAACTTCACTCAGAATTTCAACAGCGACCAGTAAACATGAGGGTAGAAAGAAATGTTGAGCGAAACGCCCTCCACAACAACTCGGCGGGCCTAGTGCTCCGGAAGCCCGACCAGCATGTGGCTCATTAGTTCCCTCCTGCGGGGCCGGATGCATCGTGAAAGGGGTGGCGGGTGGAGGCTGCGTGGCGTAAAGGCCAAATCACTGTCCCCGTGTCCACTGCGGGAATGCAGAGACATGCTTGCTGATAACCAAAAGTTGTGGATGAACCCCGTAACCCCTAATACACCCAACGGCCCCTGGTGGGCCGTACGAACCGAGCCTCAAGCATGGTCGTCATGGGTGACGGCGTGGCGGGGCTCACGGTCCCCGCCGTTTGGGCAGAGACTAGGTCAGATGCCTCGGGAAGGTGACTTTCAGGCGTGGTTGGTAAGTCAGCAGCCTTGGAGTGACGGACACGGGCCCTACGGTGGGTGGCCTGCACCCCCTCAGCGGAAGGCCAAGCCGTCCGGCCTCCAGCCTGCAGGTTCGGGCCTGCGGGCCTGCTCTGCAGATCTGCAAGTCGAGGCAGCAGCTACTCCTTTTGGGGAGCCCCCAGCCGGCCCCTGCCGGACGGGCCAGCCCCACACCACCTCACCGCATCAGCCAGTTCCTTCAACTTACTCTCGGTCTCCCTCTCCCCGGCTCTGTCTCTGCTCCTCTGGAGAACCCTAACACGAGGGGGGCCCTGCTCGCTCGAAGCTGAGGGGCTGAACATGCACACGGACAGCGGCTGCACCATATAGAACGACAGAACTTTGACCTAGTGTGTGCACTAGTCTAGAACTAGTCTAGAACTAGAACTTTGACCTAGTGATCTCCCGCGGAAAACCCTTTGTCTATGACCAGCAGCTGAGGGGGCCTGCGGAAACCCGAGGGCTAGCTCTAGTGACAATCCAGGAAGCCAGACGTTGACTTCTGGAACAACCGGCCCCGAAAGGCCGGCACGTGGTCGATAACGGACAGCTTCCCTGGCTGCGGTGTCCGTTTTCACCTGAGGCCCACCTGCCAAGCGAGCTGCCCCGCTAGCTGGTCTCATCAGACGGCCTCCCTCAAGCGGGGCGGCCTGCGGCTTCCCCAGGCCAACAGCCCCCTGCCGGGGCCCGCCTGAGACCTTCGCTTTGTGCCACTACAAAGCTTTTCCACTCCTCTGGCAGCCCTAATTTTTAATTTTTAATTTTTTTTGACCTTTCTGGCTGTGATTTAATGTTACCCATTTAAAGGTCCTCTGACAGTTTTAAATACGGAAATGTCAGCCTCTCGTCTACATCAGCAGATAGGACCGTTTCTACCTCTTATGCTCTGCTTCCCTTTGAGGCCCTATCAAACCACGAGGGACAATAGCTGACTCCCTTGTAAGCCTAGAACGGATAGTGCTTCCTTTTCCGACTTAGTTGGTCGTTATTTCCACAGCACCCAGGTATAGGCTCAGGGTGCTGCTGCCCACACAGCCAGAATTTCCAGGCGCTACCATGTAATTCAAAATGTGAACAATACGTAACAGATGGCCTACGTATTCACCTCCTGTCCTGCGGTATTGGTCAAGTTCAATGTGTGCTTTTTAAAGGTGAAACAAATGCTAATAGCAAACAAATGACTAAGAGTCTTGACTATAAAAACAATTTAAAAAATCTATTTGACTTATGGCTTATTAACAATAGCTTGCTGACTATGCACTGAACTCTAAAAGATGCTGTTTTAAGTATTTCTTCCTTTAGGCTCGCTAAGTTTACTATTACATATAATATACGCATCAAAAGCGGTACGTCTCTCTATAAAAGTGCCTTCTGACCTCCCATGTCAGACTCTATGATCTGCAAACACTAAGATTTGGACATGATACTTCTACAATTGAGTTTACAAAAATTATTGCAAGTGACCGTGATCTCCTAAGAGTTGAGGATTAAAAGGGCCCAAGAATACAAGTCAATGCCACATAATATAGGAATATCACAATGGGATGCATTTGGTAATTAGATTTATTTTGTTTTTAAATAGTAAGTACAACCTTGAATCAGCAGAATTTCACAGTAGGCTTTTCAAGTATTTGATTTTTTGGCTTATGATAATTAAGTGTAAACCACTGCTTTGAGTGCTGTCTTCAACAATAGCAAAAATCACTCTTGATTCAAGAACATTCATTTAATAATTTAAATTCTTCAGAAAAACCTAGAAAATGAATTGTCATTGTATTGTAAACATGATCGATATAAATCTTAAGCTATGAAAAGAAGATCACAACCCCGAAAAGCAGCACAAACCCCACCTCCTGCAGAGGCAAATGTTTACCAAAATTATCAAGAGGGTATTAACAGAATTGACCTGTCAATTACAATAAGGGAAAGAGGAAACCGCTCTTAACAAGGAGGATCCCCGGAAGGTTACAGCTCTGAAAAGTAATGAGGTGTCTCTAAATTTTCACTTGAAAATCCCGCAAAGGCTCATTAATGGTCCATTCGATTATCTAGAGTTGATCTTCTTGGGAGGCAACTTCTACTAGCAGTTCTGGAAGGCTAGTTACGACCTGCATTTGGAGGGTGCTGTATTAAAAGTGCACAAGAAAAATATGTTATTAAAAAATATATATGTTATTAGAACTGCAGGCAAAGACTTCACATCTTCTAAGGACTCTTCTCTCAATACCATCCCATTGTTTAAATCTGCACTTCAGCGGAGTTCCCTGCACACGTCTATACGCCGTCTATCACAGGAAACCTTCCGAATTCAGTGAGGCCACCCTCTGTATCAACAGTGACACCAGGGCGCCTGGGTGGCTCAGTCGGTTGAGCGTCTGACTCTTGACTTCAGCTCAGGTCATGATCTCAGGGTCATGGGATCAAGCCTCCCCCTCCCCCACTCCCAGCCAGGCTCTGCACTCAGCAGGAGTGGGCGTGAGATTCTCTCTCCCTCTCCCCCCACCCGCCCCCTGCGCTCTCTCTCTCAAATAAATAAATCTTTAAAAAATAAAACAGTGACCACTACCCCCCAAGATTAGGCTCACAAGCACCAGAATAGTTAAACTTACTGCTGCCTTCAAAGCTTGATCTAGATCTTCGAGCAGGTCCTTCTTGTCCTCTAAGCCCACAGAGAGTCGGATCAGCGTGTCACTAATGCCAAGGACATCCCTGTCGCTCTTAGGCACCGACGCATGGGTCATGATTGCCCTGAAAGAAAGAATGGGCACATTTTCGATCACTATATTGTATCTGTCTCATAAACTGCGATTACTGTCGATGGGCTTTTCTGTTCTAAATATCAAGCTCTTCCTATGCCTATAATGCTTCACAGGCCAAAAAATAAGGAATTGTAAAAAATCATCTTTTCCAGTCATTATCTTAAGTGAAAACTATGACCTTTTAGCCTTTCTACACTCCATCCACACACGGAAGGTGCCAATCAAGACTCCCAAGCAAGAGGGGAAAAGACAGCCTCCAGCTGCAGATTTTAGCATCTGCCTGAAAGAGGCCTTGGCCAGAGGTTCCATACCCCCGGCCCAAGCAGCTCGACTTACAAAAGGCCTATTGGACCAAGAACCAGCCAGGACTGATTCCCTCCTGACCCATGGATTAATCCAGAATGGCACCGTGTGAGGCAGCTTGGGGAAAGGCAATCCAGGGAGAACTCCGGTGGCAGCCAGGGAGCATTAGGAATTCCAGCACACGACCCATGGATGTAGAGGCCTGGAAGGGTTTTCGACCCTATCCAGCGGCTCATCGTTGTCACTAACACGGATAAAGCTAAAGCACCCACCACGGGTCAGGCACTACGGCAAGAACTGGGAAACCAAGAGAAGTGAGATATTCTTCTCTACCCCAGACAACAACGCAGAAGCCAAGGACTCTGACAATTTCAGAAACACAAGGGTCTACGCTACCAGCAACATCGAGGCCTAAGTGGCTTCGTCCGATCTCGCCTGAGATCCACGGATGGAAGATCTCGGACGTGGGCGACATAATCGCGTCTCCTCTTTCATCGCTCTACTGCGGCTGTACCTGCCAACATCCTCCTTAAATGCTCTGCCTTTTACTTCCTTGAGAGAGAGCGTACACCTAAAAACAACGTACGCCTCTGACACCACCAGCCCCGCGCACGAATCGGCCTCTCCACACGCTGGCTGTGCGGCCTTGTGAAAGGCACCTGTCCTCAGAATCAATTTCCTTATGCAAAATAACAATGACAATAATAGCTATCATTTATTACAGGCTCACCACGAGGCAGGGGCTCTGCTGGGTCATTTGTGTGCATTAATTCTTTTTTCTTTTTTTTTTAATGAATAAAAGGTGATAGAACTCCCATCCCCAAAGTTTATCGCAGTCATCAAAGGAAGGAACACATATAAAGCATCTGCAAGTACCCGGAGTGTACTAGATGCCTAATAAAAAATAATACTTCCTAATAATAATTAACATCTATTGGGCCCTTGGTATGAATCAAGGCATCGGCTTCGGGAATTTTTTTTTTCCCCATGTTCCCATAACAACCCTAAGAGCCGAGGACAGGGCCATCCACCTTTTACAACCAAGGAAACAGACTGGGAGGACACAGGTAACTTCTCGGAGATTGCACGGTTCATACGTGTTGTTAGGCTGGACCAACCCCGTGCACGCTGGCTCTGCTTCTCACCCTCACGGAATGAGGGTGACGGGGCGGACAAGCCCTGACCTAAATTCACTCGTCCACTGGCAGGCGTCGGGGTTATGGCCTCGCCGGTTGGTGCAGCTCAGGGCCCAGCCACTGCGAACCACATCCTTAACGGAATCATTTTTGAGACAGCTTTAAAGTAATGCACGTTTCAGGACTATGAAAAATTACCCAATTTCATATGCCGAGTGTGCCCTCTTGTGCATCCGGACTTATTAGCAGGCGTCTTCCTGAATGACTCACAAAAACCTATCTGGATTAGCCTCATTATTTGGGCATCATACCTTTTTTTTTTTTTTTTTTTAGACTTTATATGAAATTGCCCGACTCTTCACAGCTATTCCAGAAATGTTTATGAAAATTAAAACACAGACGCATACCAGGTGCACTCAGTACTCCTGAAAATTACTGGGTAATGATGTAATTACCACGGCAATATTCACATCACTCGGGCAGAGGTACATACAATAAAATCCGGGTACAGCTCAGGAATGCTCGGTGGGACAGGTAATCAGTCAAAGGTAATTTATAGTTTGATCATTAATCCCATTTTTATGGATGAAAAAAACTGAGGCTCAGAGGTGAGTAACTGGTGGAGCAGGTCCCAAATCCAGACCTAGGCTACTCCTCCCTCCCCTCATTGTTTCTACACAAAGCCTCAAGAACGAAGCCGCTGACACCTTCCTACGTGGCATCTGAGTCATCGGCAAAACGTTCTGAATCCCTGTTTCCTTGTCTACAGAATAAGCTGCTGGGACGTCTGATCTCAGGCTGCATCTTCTAATATCCTCTGGTGCTTGATAGAATCAGATGAATTGACTGGATTGGGAATGGCAGGTAGATTTTGGGTTTGTCTTGCAGATACACGAAGCCTTTCGAGGTTTCGGCCGCGATGCGGTCTGACCGTCGGGGGGACGGAGGCTATTTCATCGGACACGGTCCCCGCTTCCAAGGAGCCTGGACCTCAGCCCTTCTAATACAAAGTCCCCCAACCTCCCTTCCAGGGCGGGGGGTGGGGGATAGAACCAGCAGCCCCGGGTCACAGGTCAGAGATCCTAAAATATAACTCGGCTGGAGTCGCGTCCGCCTTCGGGCCGAAGGGAAAGAAGCACAAGTGGAGGCGACACAAGCGGCTCACTGGGTTTCATCAGGGTCTCCAAGCTGCTGGGTCAGAGGTTCATTCTGATTAGAGAGCGCGATGCTCTTCTTATTGTCAGATGACTTGAATTGCTCCTGATTTTTCCATATTCTTTTGTAAGCAATTGTAAAAGCTGACATCAGAGTTAAAACGCGGAGGAAAAACAAAAATATATACTCACGGCAGCTCAGCAAGACTTTCGTATCCTCCCAAGCTCTCAGCCAGAGTAAATAGCTACGGCAAAGAAAACATTCATTTGGATCTTTCACTACAACAAAAATATAAAACTAAATGGTTTTAATAAAATGGCCCTGGACAGAGAGGGTGGAGAAATGGTGCTGGATCATGAAAAAAAATACAAATTGGGAGAGAAAACCAGAGAGAAAAATGAACATCAAAATCACTGATGTCACCGCTTGGACATAGGGTGTGCAAACTTTTAAAACATCACAAGTTGAGGAAGGTGAATGTCTCACAGCTTCCTGATTTGTCCTTCTACTTGAGTAATAGCTAACGTGAGCCCTAAAACCTCAGAATCACTACATCTGAGACCTGGCTCTGCGGGGGCCCTTTGAATAAAGATCCCTACAGGTCTCCCAAGTCGCCTGTGCTTACTTGTTAAGACAGATCACGTGCTAAATTACTACGTCCAATTGAACTCCCTCCTGGGCACATACACACACCCGGGGGGGGGGGGGGAAGAAAAAAAAGAAAGAAAGAAGAAGGAGAAAAAGAAAAAACCCGGTTTTGTATTTAGTGTTATAGTGTCACAGAACTTTACAAATAATCCCCAACTACTGTCCCGGCTGTACTGAGTCCCATGCACCCCTCTTTCTGCTTTTCATGCCACTTTTCACAGCAGGGGACCCCGACTCATGTGGCAGCGGCCCAGTCGTGACACCTGCTGGACGCAGGGCCCAGGACCCAGGACGGCGAGCCCCCTGGGCCTGGTGCACGCAGGGGCCTGTCCCCGGCCCGGGCCCTCGGCCAACGTGAAAACCCCACGGAGCCCCCGTCCCTGGCCACGGCCCACGGGGCCCGGGCCCGGGCTGTGGCTCGCGGGAGCCTTTGTTCGGTGCACCGGCCACGGGTTACTCCGAAGGGTCACGGAGTATTTCATTCGGAAAAGGGGTTCGGTTTCTGACAATCTGGAAAGCCAGGGCCTCAGGGGAGGCCACGGCCACGGCCACGGGCCCGATGGCCTCGCAGCTGCCCCGCCGGTGCCAGAGGCCGGGGGCAGGCGGACAGGAGAGGCGGCTGAAGCTTTACCTTGAGGTGCTTGAGAAACGCCTCGGCGTGCACGAGTGTGCCCTTGATGTAGAAGGTGATCATGCCCGGGCAGCCGGTGCACTGCCGCTTCGCCAGCTCGTGCTGAGGATGCGAGGGCAGCCCTGCGGCCGGGACGCACAGCGAAGGTCTCGTTAGAGCCAAACAGGGAATTGGGGGAAACCTAACATTCACCGTGGGCCTAAGCCTAGGGAGGACGGCTCGGGGCCAGGCCGCCTCCGGTGCCCATCTGGGCCGACGCCTCCAGCGGCCCCCTGGCGCGTCCTCCACCTCCCCCGCTCCCCTGGCACCGGCGGCTCGCACCTTCCTCACCTGGACCCTGTACAAGCTGTGGTCTTAGCCTGGAACATTCGCCCCTCTGCTAAGCGCATCATCCTGTGATTTCTTGTTTAACATGGGTCTTCCCTACCAGACCCGCTCCGCGGGGACAGATCCGCTTCTCTTGTTAATAACTGGACCCCGGAGCCTAGTCCAGGGCTTGCTCCGTCATTGGCAATTGATAAACATTTGTTGAAAGAATCGGAATGTCGGGGGTCCCCGGGGGGCTCAGCGGTTTAGTGCCACGTTCAGCCCAGGGCCTGATCCTGGAGACCCGGGATCGAGTCCCACGTCAGGCTTCCTGCGTGGAGCCTGCTTCTCCCTCTGCCTGTGTCTCTGCCTCTCCTTCTTTCTCTCTCTCTCTGTCTCTCATGAATAAACAAAATCTTAAAAAAAAAAAAAAAGAATCGGAATGCCTGTCCACGCCCTTCCTTCTAACAGGTGCCCCCACTCTTCAAGACGCAGGCCGAAGCTTTTCTCCCTCCCTCCACTCAAAACACAGCCGCCAACAGCTCTCTCCCTGGGGGACACGGAGAGCGTCTCACCTCCTGCGTCTCACCTCCTGCGTAGTTCTGCCTTAGTTCATCTAAGTTCCTCGGGGGCAGGAAGCAAGCGTCACTCCCCTGTCCACCCAAGGCCATGATGCTAAAACATCAAAAGGATCCTAAGTGACCAATTACTTAAAGCCACCACAATTAAAAGGCCGGTAAAATAAATTCGAGGAGTGATAGATGCCCACTAAGGCCACGTGAGCTGGCAGTGGTGAAAAAAATTGAAAAGGAAGTTAAGACAGCTTCTGGGGAATTGTGGTGCGTAAGCAGCAAGTCTCAATTTGATGAGTATCCAGTCCCAACCTGAATCAGGTAAGAGGTAGAGCTCATGCCCAGTGGCAGACCCAAGGCCTGGGCGCAGACCAACTGGGAAGTACAAAATTGGAATCTTCCAATCTTCCAAGATTGGAAGTCGCAATCTTGGAATACTGAGCCGAGCCTCCAAGCTAAGGATCATCACTGGAACACCCAACGCCCACAACTTCGTAACATCCAAGCAGCCTCTAGACCTCAGGCAGCACCAGGACACGGGCCATGCCTATCTTCTCACCACCAGACCCAGCACCGAGCCTGACACACAGCTACCTCACAACAGGTGTCATGCACAGAATGCCTAGGGTGACCCACAGAATCCTAGTGTGAACACAGGTGCTTAGAAATCATATCAACACTGCAGCACATGGGCGGCTCGGTTGAGCACCTGACTCTTGATTTTGGTTCAGATCATTATATCAGGGTTTTGATTTTTTTTTAATATTTTATTTATTTATTCATGAGAGGCAGAGAGAGAGGCAGAGACACAGGCAGAGGGAGAAGCAGGCTCCATGCAGGGAGCCCGACGCGGGACTCGACCCCAGGTCTCCAGGATCACGCCCTGGGCCGAAGGCAGGTGTTATACCACTGAGCCACCCAGGGATCCCCTATCTCAGGGTTTTTAGACTGAGCTCGGTGTTGGCTCCACTCTTGCAGGGAGTCTGCTGAGGATTCTCTCCCCCACCCCTCCCTTTCTCTTCACCCCTCCCTCTACTTGCACACACCCTCTTTCAAACAAATAAATCTTAAAAGGAAAAGAAAAAAAATTAAAAGTAAAATAAATTAAAAAAAAAGAAAAGAAAATCATATTAACTTACCAGGATAGATGACCTTTTCTACCCGAGGATTAGATTCCAGAAACTGAGCAACTGCCATTCCGTTCTCGAAATGTTTCTCCATTCGGACGTGTAGAGTCTTTAGTCCTCGATTGCACAGGTAACAGTCCACAGGGGATGGGACTGCTCCAAGAGCTGCAAAATGAACATATGCTGGGGTAATCTGAAAGGTGGGGAGAGACCCAGAAGATGCTCTCACTCTCTTCTTTTTCAGTCTAGTGACTGCGAAGCGGGCTACCCAGGTCAACGTTGGCGTTTCCGGGGGGAAGTTAACATATCGAGTCAGAAGCGTAAGAACGAAGCATAAAGAATGCTCGAAGACCTGGGCTTCGGGACGAGAGCGGAAATGAATATCCTGCAGACAACACGAACTTCTCAAATACGAACATACACAATCCTCTCCATGATTTCCACTCAAGGACACCCTGCCCAGAGCTGAACCTTGTATTTCTTTGAACATGTAGAGGAAAACAGCCTCAGTTCCTGTCGTTACTGGTTCTACCAACATTCAACTTAGCTTTTTTTTTTTTTTTTTCAAAAGTGACTCTAATGAGGATCTTGTTCAGGTACCAAGAAAAGTTTGGAAAGACATGATTTTTGTCGATAAAAAAATGATGACCAAGAATCAGGTAACATGACAGGAATTCACTCTCTCTTCTGTCCCATAGAAACATCTTAATTTTCCTCCAGTGCAACTTAGCTTTTGTCTAAAGCAGCCTAGGAGTTACTCTGCCTCCCAGATACACATCTCACCTCAATGTTTTATAAATGAACTTCTCAAGCACTGAGTTTTGATTTTCTTCCTCCGGGCCTTTTTTTTCTTTTTTTCTTTTTTTTTTTTTTTTACTTTATTGCTTATTTCCTCTATTTATTTATTTATTTCATACTTATTTACTTTATTCTTACTTATGTGTGTGTCTTACCTGTCAAATCTCAATGGCTAATCTAAGTGTCTTCAAATAAACAATTACCCATACTTGAGATAACTAAATTATCTAAACAGGAAATGGTACTTAGACATCTGTTAAAAAATATAAGTTTATATATTAAGTGCTATTTAAGATTAACCATTTCAGATATAAAAGATACAGTGTAAGAAAGCCATCATTCCAAATGTGTTATCTAAAGAAAAAAAATCTAGTAAGTCTGAAAACTAAAAATTCAGTTGCGCTTTCCCCAATTATGGTCAAAATTAACATGATTTTGAAAAATAACAGAACTGATATCTTGAGTCATGTTGTAAAGCCTAGTTATGCTCTAACTATATTTCTATATTCCAATTTTTCTACTTTCCTTTAAAAACCAGAATCTTTCTCCTCTACTTCTCATTTCTTCCCAATTTAGCAGAATGCCATCACTTCACAACATTTAGTGGAACTACAAATATCAAATGTCGTCTCTCTAAGAGGATAAGGGTAAATGCAGGCTTTTTAATACTTACAATTTTGTAAGAAACGGAGCCTGTTATGGAGGCTCTCAGAATTAACAGATACTAAGCCCATCACGACATCACTGTGGCCTAAAGCAAAACAAAAACCTTTAAGTTAAAAACGATATACATTTATTCTTCATTCTAAAATTTAAAAAGGTGACTTTCATTTGAAAAAACTCTCTGGTAAAAGCCCTATAGAGTAAGTTTAAATAAATTGTATTCCATCTGAGGATGCCCGGGTGGCTCAGCTGGTGTTGGGACCTGGAATCAAGCCCCACAGCGGGCTCCCTGCTCAGGGAGACTCTGCTTCTCCCTCTGCCCCTCCCCCCAACTCATGCTCATTCTCTCTCTTTCAAAAATAAATAAACAATTTTTTTAAAAAAACCTGTATTCAATCTGACAGCACCAAAAGCCATATCTGTAACAATGAAAATAAAAATCACATAAAAATTGTTTCTTTTTAAGCTGTCAGTAGGATAAAACCGTAACGTCTTCAAGTAAATTTTAATCCTCTGTTCATGGTCATGGGCATAGCTTTGTCTGCTATAAATGAAATCCCATATTTTATCCGAAGTACAATTTTTTTACTTTCTACATGACTCATAACAAAAACCTGAATAATAGAAGGAAAAGGATCAACATATCACGCCTTTGGGTATTTTCATCTACCTATGGAAAGGAATACTCAAAGTGAAGACTACGTATGCCTTACCATTCATATATTTTGTCGCTGAATACATACAAATATCAGCTCCCAGCGCCAAAGGCCGCTAAAAGGAACAAAAGATTTTCATTTTTTAAATGGTAAATCTCTTTCAAAAATGCTTCATGACATGCCAATTTGCTATTGTAAATGTCATCCCTATTCTAACTTTTCAAAAGTACATGCATCTTAAAGTTCTCTCCCTTTCTCTCCCACCAAATAAAAATACAAAGTACTGGACCCAATATTCAATCCAAAAGCACAAATTTTCTGGAAATAGCAAGTGAACTCAGGTCAACAGGTCTCCTGAAATTGTTTCTTTAGAGCAGTTGCCGGCTGGTCCTAAGCTAAGTGTATCACTAAATTTTACAATGCAGAGATGCTGACATTTTATGACTCAGTAAACATATAAAGTAGTCGACGTAAACACTTAGCCATTGTTACATCAAGTGAGAAGAAAACTAATATGCTTAGATTTTGATCATTAAAACCTGATAATATATGCTGTGATCATTCACTTGATGTGCCATGATCTTAACTCTTAATTACTCTTTTTTTCTTAATTACTCTTTTATTATACTAGTTTTGCCAAGCGTAAAGTCACTTAGAAAGAAATTTGTTTTCCCTCCTCTGATTTTCCTGCAATTCAATCCCTTAGTCTTAAAATCTCTTTGTTTATAAGTGAGAATTAAAGTTATAATCAACTTATTCACTGAACAATATATTATCATCTTTCTATTTACATCTTTTTTTTAAAAAGTAAGCTCAATGCCCACCACAGGGTTTAAAATCACATTACTGAGATCAAGAGTCGCATGCTCTCCTGACAGCCAGCCAGGAGCCTATTTATATTTTCTTTTTTTTTTTTTTAATTTTTATTTATGATAGTCACACAGAGAGAGAGAGAGAGAGAGAGACAGGCAGAGGGAGAAGCAGGCTCCATGCACCGGGAGCCCGACGTGGGATTCGATCCCGGGTCTCCAGGATCGCGCCCTGGGCCAAAGGCAGGCGCCAAACCGCTGCGCCACCCAGGGATCCCTAATTATATTTTCTTTAAAAGAAAGTGTGTGTGTGTGTGTGTGTGTGTGTGTGTGTGTGTGAACCTCACCAGTTGTTTAGTCTTTGGAAGGTGTTGTTAGTATAAGGGCTATAGGGCTTTTCATTTGGGGTGTTTCAAAAATAGGATGTTTTAAGCCAGGTGTTACTCGAAGCACTCTCTACATAGGTGTTTGCACATCTCCAAAGTGATAGAGTCAAACTAGATGATGGTCTCTCCCAATAGTAACATTCTCTAAACTCTGTGGTCAAAAGAAAATGAAAAAATGAAGAAGAATAACTAACATCTGTTGACCTCATTATATGCCAAGAACCACATTAAGTACTTCACAAATCCCAGTGAAGCACTACATAAAATATTTTACCTGACTCAATAAAATGAGTACTTTAAGATTTTCATTGTACAGCTGGGGAAAAAAGACTAAGAAAAGCAAAAGAGGGGCACCTGGGGGGCTCAGTCGGTGAAGCATCTGACTTGACTTCAGCTCAGATCATGATCTCAGGGTGTGGAGTTCGAGCCCCTTGTTGGGCTCCACACTGGGTGTGGAGGGTGTGAAGCCTCCTTAAAATTCTCCCTCTCTTTCTCTTCTGTGCCCCCATTCCCAGCTTGTCCTCTCTAAAAAAGGCAGGAAAGGAGGGAGGGAAGGAGGGAGGGAGGAACAGATCATTCAGATTAAAAAGCTGGGAGAGCTAGCACTCATACCAAACTATATGAATCCAGAGGCTCTACTCTTGAACTCTGAAACTTTACGATGGCCTGCCCATTGTGCTTTTTGTGACATTTTCAGAAGATCCAGAAGACAAACGGCAGGGAAAAAAGAGAATGAATCCAGTTTTCGTGAAGGTAAGATAACGAGAGGACCTTTGTAGAAGATCTGCTCTATGGAATTATGACATGAGGCTGCTGAGGGACAACACGATTCTGATTAACTCAACTGGAATGACTCCAAATTGAAATGGAGCAAATTGCAGACCCTGGCATGAGGAAATGTGATGTGGGCTTCAGAAAGGTAGAAAAACTGGACCTATTTTAGTGACAGTAAAGGGGGGACAAAAGGGCCAGGCCTGATGAGTAATCTGGGCAGGCCCAGGCTAACATAATTCATGCAACCTCTTTGGGAATATACAGGACTCACTGTGACTCAGCTAGAGCAACCCTAGGCTGTGTTAACTAGCCTAGCGTAAGTGGTATACGGGGTAAGGAGTTGGGATAAAGAATCCAAGAGTGAAAATCACCTGGGACAAATAGATGAGGCCAGGAGAGCTTCACTTGGAAGTAGACTGTTTTACCTGATAGAAGAAGCAGCCAAAGCTGTATGGTGAGCCAAAGGCAGGTGGACCATGAAGCTACCCAAATGCAGTGTAGCCAGGAAATGTGTTTGAGGAAAACAAGATAAAACCTAGTAGTGCTTTCTCAATAAAATGGAAGGTGAAGAACAGGTTTATACAAACTCCCAAAGAATTGGCCAATTGCATGAAGGCAGCAGCCTGCGCCAACTTCGGGAACCCAGAACAAGGGGGGCTGGGGGGAGGGATATTAACAATTGAGCTATAAATATCTGCCTAATTTAAGAGTAGCAGAAAATGAGCTGGGCTTTCGGGAACTCGACAGAGTAAAGGTAAAGTACAGGAAGTGTAATAAGAATGATCATAAGGTACAGGCAGCAAGCAAAGAGCGAGAAGAAGGTACGCTCCCAATAAGGAAAGGAAACAGATTGGGCTACCTGGAGGGAAGAAAGAGAAAACATGTGGGAAAAGGGGCAGACAACTGGTCAGTTATAGAAAGATCCCTAGATGATCTACCCAAAGGAGCAAAACAGAAAAAAGTACCTGAGAAAATAGGAGAAAAAAGAAAAGGAATGGACCGTGAAAGGGGGGGTTTGAGATGGGAAGAGATGTATGTAAAGGGGTAGGCAGGAAAAGAGATGGTTTAGGGACACCTGCATGGCTCAGAGGTGGAGTGTCTGCCTTGGGCCCAGGGCGCGACCCAAGGGTCCTGGAATAGAGTCCCGCATCGGGCTCCCACAGGGAACCTGCTTCTCCCTCTGCCTGTGTCTCTGCCTCTCTCTCTCTGTGTCTCTCATGAATAAATAAATAAAATCTTAAAAAGAGTGAGAGATGGCTTAAAGGGAGCATTATAAAGGCCTTGGTACTTATAGCTACAGCGTGAAACAGGCAGTAGAAATTCCTAATACAAACGAGGTAAAGCTATAGGGAGCTGGCCATAGCCTGTGGGGCACTGAGGGAAGAGACACCAGAGAGGAGCAAAGTGAAGAAATAATATGTGTGATGTACACTGAGATGTCATGCAGTTTAGCTTCCATTTATTTGGAAGGTTAGCCAGGTTTAATGATATAATGTATATATTACATATATTATGTAATGCATTTAAATATATATTAAATTATACAGCTTAATTATATATTTTAATAACTTAATAATACATTAATATATTAAAAGTAAACATATATACGTTACATATGCAACATATATGTTTTTCAGTCACACCATATATATATAAAAAACATCATAATGGACTTATTACCAGCTCATAAACATTAAAGTCCCTATTATTTATAAAGCACTGACAGATAAAAATCACATAATAAGGCCAGCTCTTCAGAGAGTTCTCACATCCTAAGAGAACTTAAAAGCTTTAATTAAGACAACTTTTAAAACACACAAAGTCCCATATCAGATATGAACCTAGGGTTGGTTGAAAAGATAGTAGCTAATGGTAGAAAAGGTCCCATTTTAATTATTTGTCTCATCAGTAGCTATGATTAGATTCCATGAGTTTGATAATGATTTTAACATAAACAAGTCTTTGCTTTCCTAGTTCCAGGTGTCTATAGTCCTCTAATCATGCCAAAAAAAAATTATTTTCACTTACCTGGAAATATGCTGACATAAAAGTATTATCCACGACCAAAATGATGTCGCCACATTTATGAACGGTGTGTGCACAGGCTTCAATGTCAATCATCTTCAAGCTTGGGTTTGTGGGGGTTTCAATCCAAACAAGCTAAAGCAATTCAATAAATGATAATAGTTTATGAAAAATATACTGCACGGATATACGTGTCATCTATTGTAACCATGTGGCACACTGCCCTGGAGGAGCTTGGGTGATGAGGTTGCAAGGTTCGAATCTGAATCCTAGCCCCCATTAATTTCTGAGAGGCCACAGTTAAGTAACTACCCTCCAGATTCCTCGAATTGTACATCTGTACGGTAGGCCTGATGATATTTTATAGAGCTGTTATAAAGATCAAATGAGGTAATGTCACGTATAAGCAGAAAAGTGTTCAAGCTAATTCTCGTAAGGACGTTCCATTAAAAAGAGGATCAAGTTCAGAGACATAATTCAGCGTCTAAGAATTTTGTTCTCCAAAGTAAATAACATACAACACCGAGATTATAGCCTGGGAGTTTCATTAAAGAGAACTATGCCTATAATGCCAAACACACCCTAAATATTAACTTAAAAAGTGCCAGTTGTATTAGAAACTATAAAGTAAGCCCCCAGAACTTGAAGAGCGTGGGTTTTAAAGTGCAGGAGAGAAAATCTGGTCATAGCTCATTTAAGAAAGAGGCAGGGATCCCTGGGTGGCGCAGCGGTTTAGCGCCTGCCTTTGGCCCAGGGCACGATCCTGGAGACCCGGGATCGAATCCCACGTCGGGCTCCCGGTGCATGGAGCCTGCTTCTCCCTCTGCCTGTGTCTCTGCCTCTCTCTCTCATTCTGTGTGACTATCATAAATAAATAAAAATAATAATAAAAAAAAAAGAGGCACCAGCACATCCCAAAACCTAGTACAATTCAGACACATAGTAGATGCTTGACAGTAACTTTAAACACCAAAGAAAAGAGAATTCCTTTTGTTAAACAAGATGCCACTGTGTTGCATGGCATTACCCACAGCCTTCTTTGTAAAAGGGTTAATGATTCTTTGTTACTGTGTAAATGAACTATGTCTCTACAGTTTAAAATTCTTCCCATTCTTGGGGATCCCTGGGTGGCGCAGCGGTTTGGCGCCTGCCTTTGGCCCAGGGCGCGATCCTGGAGACCCAGGATCGAGTCCCACGTCGGGTTCCCTGCATGGAGCCTGCTTCTCCCTCTGCCTGTGTCTCTGCCTCTCTCTCTCTCTCTCTCTCTGACTATCATAAATTAAAAAAAAAAAAAAAAATTTTTTTTAAATTCTTCCCATTCTAGAGCTTTACTATAGAAAAGTTCAGGTAGTTAAAATAATGCGTGGTCTACAAGAACCGAATTATTTTAAAAAATCTATAAAGTTATTTCTGGGCAAGAACCTATTACTCCTGTTCATGATAAAAAATAATCACAATGAAAGGAATAAATACAAAGTCGATTTTACGGGGCCTTAAGAAAATCTACTTCATACAATGAGGCAGATATTTCAGGGGGGGGAAATGTATTAATTCGAGTCAGTAGAGAGCCACGACATAAAGTCCTGTTGACCAGGATTAACATACTCACAATTTGCTTTCCTCCCTTAGAAACACTCAGACCAGCTATTTTAATAAGTATCTTTCCTCCTAAGCAGGATAAAAAACAAGTTCCTTTGAAAGCAAACTTTAATCACTCAAAGCTCCCCCCTGTGTTAATCTTCAAAGTAATTACTTGGGTGGGAAAAGGTTTTCACTTTTTAGCGTTCACTGCGGCATAATCTTGAGTACAATTCAAACCGTTTAATCATTAACAGAAAGTTGGAAAAGGCTGACTTAGCAAAGACACTGGTCCTTCTTTTACCCATGCAGAATTTAAATGAGGCCCCAAGAAAGAATGTCACATATGCCATTCACCCGGCCACAAAACCCCTTCCGGTGGGGTACAAGCTTCCCGGGACGAGGCTAAAGATTGCTTGTGGCCCATTCTCTCCTTGCAACTGTTAGGTCGTTGAAGTATCGCTTAGAATTCTTAAGGAGCCAGGATGCTTAGGGTCCGGGGTCTTGGCAAGCTTCCTTTTCTGCAGCCCAGTCTCTGTGATGACTTGGGTTCCCAAGTCCAGCCTGGCACCGCAGCACAGCGCAGTCCGCTTCTGCCCACAGATCTTTTGGAAGTTCCTCTGTGCTGGGCCCTGTACTGAGCACTTCATCCGCCCTGCCTCATCGAATTTACACAACCACCGTCCTATAAAGCAGGCACGATTACCCCCATCTTGCAGATGAAGAAACTGAGACTTTGGTTGAATGATCTGCCCGTGAGAGCACACAGACTGTGACACAGAATTAGAACGTGGGTCCTGCTGTGGAACTCATGTGCCTGCCCATTAGACACTAATATCCTGGAGAAGCCAGGCCCATCTCCATATCGTTGGTGGCTTCCAATGGCTTCTAATAAAATTTGTTATTTAAACTGAAATTATGTCCTCCAGTAAACAAAATGATGAAAACAAAACGCCACCCAGAAAGCAGACAAAATTGAGAACTAACTGAGTTACCTTGGTTTCTGGTGTAATGGCTGCCTCTAGCAATTTGATTTTGGAGCAATCCACGAAAGTAATCTTTAATCCAAATTCACTCGCCACCTGCCTGAAGTACCTGTTTGTACCTGAGGCAGACAAAAAAATCAGGCAAAACAGAAAGGACACTGTACTGAGAAATGTCCATTCTTTATAGGTACAAATGCTTTATAAATATAAAGAAGTGTCAATCGCGAATAAAAATACAACTGACAGCAATTCAGTTAGATCATTTGGCTATCTGGTATAATAAAGAATATAAGGCTTGGATTTTAAACTACAAGTTAAAGAGTCCAATAAAACACACTTGATATCCATACCAAATGGCATGAAGCAAAAAAGTTTCTGAAAACACACAACTTCTACTCTTCAGACATTGAGCGGCATGCTCCTTGAAACATCAACAGGTTTTTTAGCAATTTCTTCCTAATACTCAAATTTAAAATAAATGAACCAATATCAATAAAATGTTCAAAATAAATTTTCAGGAGCGCCTGGGTTAAGCGTCTGCCTTTGGCTCAGGTCGTGATCCCAGGGTCCTGGGATCAGTCCCTGCTCAGCAGGGAGCCTGCTTCTCCCTCTGCCTCCCCCTGCTTCTGTGCTCTCTCTCTCTCTCTGTCAAATAAATAAATAAAATCTTTTTAAATAAATAAACTTTCAGTCTGATTATACTTTGATGATAATAGAACAAAACTGGTTATTATTCTTTAGCTTTTCTCAATCTTTTTGTTATGTGGTTTCTAAATGCTTTTTTAGATAAATGAGGCAATATAAATCAAACAACTACAGTTTCATGGTGAAAGGAGATAAATTATTCAACTTAGAATAATTCGTCTTACAAACACTGTTCTGGATTTGATTTTTATTTTTACGTAGGCAAATTTAAAGGAAAATTTGTTGTTATTGATAGCCAACCAAAAAGAAAGGAAAAGAGGAAAAGTATTTTATGATCAAAGATATACTGAACTTTTGATGCTATATAGACTGACCCTACATAATGTGATTGAAAAAGAATGTAAGGAATTGTTAAAAATCAATAGCAATTTTCAAGATTCAGTACCTATGTGTGCCACGAGGTTTTTTTTTTTATATATATAATACACTATAAAAGTAACCAAAGGTGTGCTCTTTCTACCATTTCTATTTAACAATCAGGGAACAACGATAAATACAAAGCACCGCAAATTTCTAAGAGGGTTAAAATGATTGCTAAGAGTAAGTCTCTTAGTTCAAGGAACTTACATATTTGACTTCTTACTAATAGGAGACAGATAAAATGATAATATTCTAGAAACCACGTTTTAATTATTTGGGAGCATCTGGAATCCATATCCCTATCTTTACAAAAATTTTTGCTATTGTTTTGGGCATAGAATCAAGTCTTGCTTGAAGGTAAGGGCAACCTGTCTCACCACTTTAAATAACTTCCATTTAAATTGTTCACTTTAAATAACTTGCACTAAAAGCGTTTAGAATGAAAGTTCTTACATTTGAACCCATGACAGACTGCAAAGGGTAAGACCCTTGACCCTAAAATTAAAATGAGAAATATTGACTGTAGTCTTAAGTACACTTTTCCACTTTTCCAGGGAAAGGGTCCGTACTTCAAACAGGTTTTCAAAAGGTTCCCTAAAACCGCAAGCGTAAGTGTGCAGGGAGGCTAGAGAAGTGGGAAGAGGTAAGCTGTGAGAGTGACCTGGGCTATGCTTCATCTTCACTGTAGATAAACATTTTAAATAACACTAGAACACTCTTTAAACACCATCTTCTCTGAAGCAGAAGGTATCTGAAAGTTGATCACAACTAACATCCTCATTTCAGCAGCAGTTAAAAAAAAAAAGTTAATAAACAAGTGTCAGAGCATAGACTCTAAATGTTTACACTCTTCCTTTACCAGGTCTGGGCCAACACTGAGGTGTCCATCACACCTTTAAAAGATAATAAATGGGGACGCCTGGGTGGCGTAGGGGTTGAGCGTCTGCCCTTGGATCAGGTCGTGACCCCGGGGTCCCGGGATCGAGTCCCACCTCGCGCTCCCTGCATGGAGCCTGCTTCTCCCTCTGCCTGCGTCTCTGCCTTTCTCTCTGTCTCTCATGGATAAAAAATTAAAATCTTTAAAATAATTTTTAAAGATAATAAATGATCCATAATCCTGGTAACACTATTAATATATTTCAGGACCCACTTTATTGTCTTTAAGATCCCAGCTGACGCAACCTGAATGAGACAGGTCACCTACCTCCGTACACATCATCCATACAAATAATTTGGTCTCCTGCTTTCAAGAGATGGGTAATAGTCACAGTGGCAGCTAAGCCTGAAGCAAAGGCCAAACCTAAAATGAAAGCCAAGGGAAGGGTAAACCAATTAGTCAAACCTCTGGGCTGAAAAACACCGACAGTATTTCCCTGCATTAGCTTGTGCTCTCGCCTCTGCTGGCAGTTCAGGACAGCCAGCACCACTGAGTCACGAGGGGTCCCCTGATGAATTACAGGAGCCCAACTCCCCTTTAATTTTAATACCTTGAAATTAAAATATCTTTAAGAGAAAAAAACACCTAATTCTGCTTTGGTGGTAACATTTCTCTAAAACACTTCAAAGAAATAATTCTTTACAAAATTCTGAGATGAAAGGCCAACTGCCAATTCAATTACAGCTTAAAATCAACAAACTGAAGAAAAAAACATCAAACTTCAGCAACAGAGCCAAGGTCAGAGTCACTCACTGACCACACGGCTATCCAAAACCCAAAATCAGGCCTGAGAGGTGTCTGCGGAATTGAAAAACTGGTTTGTTTGGGTTTTTTAAAATTATTTTTAAGTGTAAATCTCTTTTAAACAGATATGATCCCGAAACCTCATAGATAACAAAAACAATTAAAACAATTAATAAAAAATTAAAAATCAAAAAAAAAAAGAACACGCCTGGCACTGCGTACATTAAATACCGTGGAAGGAAATATCCTGACAAAATATCAACACATCCCCTTCATGATAAAAATCGCCTGCAACTGGTAGAAGGGAGAGTCCAATTAACTTGAAAAATGTGACTCTTAATCTTCTCAGTGAAGTCTAGGTTGGGGTCAACTCTGTGGCTAAGCTGCCACCTCAGTCAAAGCCCCCGGGTGTCCTGGACCTGGTGGGAAAACCCACCGGCCTGTCATCCCTGTGAGCCCTGGGAGCCCATCGCCTGGAGCCCCGTCAGCCCTGGGAGCCCCGGCAGCCCATGAGCCCCGTCAGCCCTGGGAGCCCTGTCAGCCCTGACAGCCCCGTCAACCCTAGGAGCCCCATCAGCCCTATGAGCCCCGTCAGCCCTGGGAGCCCCATCAGCCCTGAGAGCCCAGTCAACCCTAGGAGCCCCGTCAGCCCTATGAGCCCTGTCAGCCCTGGGAGCCCTGTCAGCCCTGGGAGCCCCGTCAGCCCTGGGAACCCCGAGAGCCCTGCCAGCCCCGTCAGCCCTGGGAGCCCCATCAGCCCTGGGAGCGTGCACCTCACGCACCTGCGGGCGACCACTACATCAGCGAGGCTCAGTCTTCAGAAAGAACTCCCCTCATCCAAAAGAAAAGAAAAACCTCCCCCAAACCCCCAACCCCCCACAGGCATTTCCAACCCCTACACTCAACGCTGTGAGAAAACTCCTAAAACTCATTTTCTCTTCCCCATTCCGTCTTTGTTTATATCATTTATATAAAAAATACGAAGATGACTTAATAGTCATCCACTCCCTTCATGAGAAGATTCAAGGGGCTAACCCCTACTGCCCCTAATCCCTGGGGGCCCCTCCTCAGGGCAGCAGGTAAATGCAGCCCGGGTTGTGCTGTGCTCAGAGGTAGTGTCACAAAACTCTGTTAATATTTACTCGTTTACACGGACACGTGCAGGCAAAGCGTGCATTTACGGGAGTAGCAAACGGCAAAGTCTTGCCATTTTTGCCTCTACTCCTACGTATTTTTGCCCAACAATCACACGCACGCATATGACGCCTGTCCTCCACGCCCTTGGGCCAAAGTCTTCAACATCTTCGTAAAATAAAAAAATCTGATCTGACTAATCCTTATCTGTTTCCGACTCTAAGTTCTGTGCCTCCGTGATTTTGCTGATAGGCGGAAGAGTGGGGTCTAGACCCCACGAACCCTGAAGTGGAAACCACTTACTGTACTTGGCCCCATCTAGGGCCGCCACGGCTTTTTCCAAGCAGTTCCTGGTGGGGTTTCCAGAACGGCTGTATTCAAAGCCCTGAAGAAAAGGAGATAGAGTTCATCTTAAGAGATTCAAGTTTCCGTATCAGAGTCCTAACATAGACCCCTCCACAACTACGGGTTCCTCCTACCATCGTGATTTCCCACTAGTTAGTTGTGACACGTCTTGCCATTAAATAGGAGCTGCACAGTCCTGTGGCTGCAGCGGTGGGAGAAGGCCCCGAAGCCCACCAGCCTGGATTAGAAGGCTAGAGCTCCACCTACGAGCTGAATGCCTGATACGTAAGCTACTGGACGTTCCCTGACGTTGATCTCGGTACCTGAAGATGGGAATAAAATACAAAAAACTAATCCTGTAAAATTGTTGTTGTGATGATAAAATCATGTTATGTGTAATAAGTTCTCTGCGTGGTGCCCGGCACATGCTAACTACTAGAGAAACGGCTGTTTGCATTATTAGCATTATTATTCCTCATTAACCTGGGGACACCAGGAAAAGGGAATTACCAGAGCCAACAGAGTAAACTTACGTCTGACCCAGATTTCATTTCCCAAGACCTAAGTGGTTCGAGTCCTGTTTATTATCCTACAAGAAACTACCAACAGGTCCTACAAATGCTCCAAGTTCAGATCTTGGCTCGACGAAAGTGACTCAAAAATACAGGGTAATTCTTGGCACCGTGGCTACGTACAGTATTTTTTTTTTTAATTTGCTCTTTTTACATTTACCATACTAGGGATATTCATCCAGTCATTTTATTTAATATCTTGGTCTGTTTTTTAGGAAAACGAAGCCAAAGGCCTAAGGAGCGTCAGAACCAGTATCCAAACCTAGGATCTAAACATTGACTGAAAATGCTACAATTTTCTCTCAGTGCCTCATATAGCACACAACAAAACACAACAACCACTTTTTACAGACTGTTTAGGATTTGGGAGCTCCCAGTACTAGTAATGGGTGTATATACACATTATAGATATAGGTACACACACATACATTTTAAGTTTTGGTTGTTTGTTTCGTTGTTTTTGACAAACTGAGTAGACCTATTTAGCAGGGTTTCGGGATATCCTCATCCCTCCCTACCATCACCTCCATGATGTGATCCCCAGGCAGAAAAAAAATCTGTGCGGATTCATGTGGCTGCTGCCGCAGAAAGGCACCCCTGTTGCCATGAGGATTTACTGCAGAGATGGAACTTTCGGAGGTAGATGGAGAGGCGAATCCCAGTGGCAAATCCCGACCCTCACACCCATTCGATGGCTTTCCAATGGACTAGGAGAAACAGGTGCTTCTCATTCAGCTCCTCAGATTCTCTTTAGGGCTCTTCATGGAGTTTTTAAAGGTATTAAGAGGTGTTTGGTGTTTGTAGACTTCATCGCCTATGTTGGCTATCTGAAAATATCTAATTATTAATTTCTGGTTAAATGGTTAACTTTTGTAGCAAGACCTAATAAAACCTGGACAGTCACACATTCACAGAGCCTACAGCAGCAACAGACTGCAAACTTGGAAAACAGGCTGCGTCCCCGTTTTGGTTCCAAAATAAAGTAGCTGGACGTAACCTAAACCAACTGTAAAGGGATCCCTGGGTGGCGCAGCGGTTTGGCGCCTGCCTTTGGCCCAGGGCGCGATCCTGGAGACCCGGGATCGAATCCCACATCGGGCTCCCGGTGCATGGAGCCTGCTTCTCCCTCTGCCTGTGTCTCTGCCTCTCTCTCTCTCTGTGTGTGTGACTATCATAAATAAATAAATAAATAAATAATAAATAAATAAATAAATAAAATAAACCACCTGTAAAAATGCCCTTAGAACTCTACCTCACCAAACAAGGGGCTAAGTTTAAAAGAATTTTCCTAAACTCACATAGCATGACACGCTAAAGAGGTTTTTGAAGTGTAATCCAAGCTTTGGACTTAAAAAGTTTATTGAACTAATTTCCTTAAAAGCTCAGCAACTTTTAATACTCCAGGATCTCGTCAGTATTACCGAAAGGGATTAATAGGTACTGCTCTTTCAAAACCTTACAACTCATTTATCTATAGCTCTGGGTCAGTTCCTTGTAAAAAAAACAAAAAAAACAAAAAAAAAAAACAAAAAACAGTGTCCTGTCCTTGCCTTCTGACCTGGCTACGTGAGGATCGAATGGAAAAGGTGTAAATGTGAACACCGTGAAATCCCAAACTACTGAGCAATTATAATGCACCATAAAGTCTAACATAAATATCAACAATTTATGCGGTAGGTGCTATGATTAACTGCATTTACTCAGGATTAACCCGAGGCTTGGAGAGGCTGAGCAACCTGCCCAAGGTCGCCCGGATCAGAAGAGGTGGGGTCGGTGCTCAATCCTAGCCCTCCGGTGACTTATGCTGTGAATCACTAAACCATACTGCTCAAATGATGCAATGGGTCAGATTATTAGCAGAATTACTGGAGCACAGCAGGGTGTAGCCTAATGCCTCCGCGTAGCTTCTAGAGCAGGGCTGCAATCCCAGCGACACCAGTTACTAGCCATGCGGCCTCAGTTAAGCTACTTAATATTCCCAAATCTGTTTATTTAATGGGAAAAATGAGAACCCATCGAGACGAGGGTTGTCGTGAGGCTCGTCCCCGACCATACCTGTAACACACCTGACACATGACACGCAGGTCTGTATCTAGCCTTTAGCAGCTACTCAATCGCTATTAACATCGAGCACAGCCACTGAGCATGATCTTGATCCCAGGTCAGTTATCAGATCCTGAGGGTTGTGTTGTTTTGTTTTGTTTTTTAAAAAATGTATGTATTTATTCATGAGACCCACACAGAGGAGAGAGAGGCAGAGCCACAGGCAGAGGGAGAAGCAGGCTCTATGTAGGGAGCCTGAGGCGGGACTCGATCCTGTGACCTTGGGGTCGTGACTTGAGCTGAAGGCAGAGGCTCCACCGCTGAGCCCCCCAGGTGCCCCCTGAGGGTTTTTTGGGTCTTTTTTTTTTTTAGTTGACTCCCTACCCCGGCTTTATGATTTTTGCTGCTAAAGGTAATTCAACAGTTATGACCCTCAGTTTTGAACTGCCCATTTGCCAAAATTACACGAATTTCAGTTCAAATCTGTACAGTGGGACGCACTGTTCCTTCCAGTCCTGCTTGTTCCAAGATTGTGATCAGCGGGCCGCGAAGGCGGAGGGTCAGCGCCAGGAAGGTCCGCAGGGCAGTGCCCCCTCCCGTGCACACTGCCTTGCACACGGCCATGCGGACGCCTCGCACTCCTCCTCGCACGCCGCTGTGCACACGGCCATGCACACCTCCTCGCACACCTCCTCGCACGCCGCCTGGCACACCTCCTCGCACACCACCTCGCACACCTCCTCGCACACCTCGCACGCCGCCTCGCACACCTCCTCGCACGCCACCTCGCACGCCGCCTGGCACACCTCCTCGCACACCACCTCGCACGCCACCTCGCACACCTCGCACGCCGCCTGGCACACCTCCTCGCACGCCACCTCGCACACCTCGCATGCCACCTCGCACGCCACCTCGCATGCCACCTCGCATGCCACCTCGCACGCCACCTCGCACACCACCTCGCACGCCGCCTGGCACACCTCCTCGCACACCTCGCACGCCGCCTCGCACACCTCGCACGCCGCCTGGCACACCGCCTGGCACACCTCCTCGCACACCTCCTCGCACGCCACCTCGCACACCACCTCGCACGCCGCCTCGCACACCTCGCACGCCGCCTCGCACACCTCGCACGCCGCCTCGCACACCTCGCACGCCGCCTGGCACACCGCCTGGCACACCTCCTCGCACACCTCCTCGCACGCCACCTCGCACACCTCCTCGCACACCTCGCACACCTCCTCGCACACCTCCTCGCACACCTCGCACGCCTCCTCGCACGCCACCTCGCACGCCTCCTCGCACACCTCCTCGCACACCACCTCGCACACCTCCTCGCACACCTCCTCGCACACCTCCTCGCACACCTCCTCGCACGCCTCCTCGCACACCTCCTCGCACACCTCCTCGCACGCCTCCTCGCACACCTCCTCGCACACCTCGCACGCCACCTCGCACACCTCGCACGCCGCCTGGCACACCGCCTGGCACACCTCCTCGCACACCTCCTCGCACACCTCCTCGCACACCACCTCGCACACCTCCTCGCACACCTCCTCGCACACCTCCTCGCACGCCTCCTCGCACACCTCCTCGCACACCTCCTCGCACACCTCGCACGCCTCCTCGCACACCTCCTCGCACACCTCGCACGCCACCTCGCACACCTCGCACGCCGCCTGGCACACCGCCTGGCACACCTCCTCGCACACCTCCTCGCACACCTCCTCGCACACCACCTCGCACACCTCCTCGCACACCACCTCGCACACCTCCTCGCACGCCTCCTCGCACACCTCCTCGCACACCTCCTCGCACACCTCGCACGCCGCCTGGCACACCTCCTCGCACACCTCCTCGCACGCCTCCTCGCACACCTCCTCGCACACCTCGCACGCTCCTCGCACACCTCCTCGCACACCTCCTCGCACACCTCGCACGCCGCCTGGCACACCTCCTCGCACACCTCCTCGCACACCACCTCGCACACCTCCTCGCACACCTCGCACGCCACCTCGCACACCTCGCACGCCGCCTGGCACACCGCCTGGCACACCTCCTCGCACACCTCCTCGCACACCTCCTCGCACACCTCCTCGCACACCTCCTCGCACACCACCTCGCACACCTCCTCGCACACCACCTCGCACACCTCCTCGCACACCTCCTTGCACTCACTCCGCTACGCACACCGCCGGCGCCCCCGCCCCCGGGTACCCCCCTCCCGCCGTCCGGGCCCCGCTCACCGCGTGCTGGCCGGGGGCCCCCTGCTTGAACGTGGTGGACAGGGAGATGGGCGGCACCACGGCCCGGGAGCTCCACTGCTCGGGCTCCTGGCCCACATGGATCGCCTGCGTGGCGAAGTGCGGGAAGCGGGGCTGGAAGCCGTCCGGGGCGGCGTCGGGCTCCTGCATGCCGGGCCGCGGAGGGGACCGAGCGCGGGGGCAGGTGCGGCCGGAACCGCGGCGACTGGGCCGGAGACGCGGGGAGCGGGAGCGGGAGCGGGAGCGGGAGCGGGAGCAGGAGCAGGAGCCCGCGGGGCCGCCGACCGCCAGGCTCGCAGGCCGCACTCCGCGCGCTGGACCTCCGCGGCCGCCGGGGCGGGGCGCTCGCGGGGGCGGGGCCAGCGGGAGCCAATGAGCGACGGCCGCGGCGCCACGCGCGTTCCTAATTGGCCGCAGGCGAAGGCGTTGCCCGGAGCGCCGCGGGCCCGCCCCTTCCCGGGGCGCAGAGGGCAGTCCACGCGGTGCGGGTCCCCCGGGGCAAGGTTCCTGGGGGGGAGGGGGCGGCTGGGGAGCCTGGGGGAGCCTGGAGGAGTTGGGGTGCTGGGGAGGCTGGGGTCCTGGGGTGCTGAGGGGCCTGGGGGAACTGAGGGCCCTAGAGGAGCTGGGGGGGCTGGGGGAGCCTGGAGGGCTTGGGGGGGCTGGGGAGGCTGGGGGTCTGGGAGAGCTAAGGGACTTCGGGGGACTGAGGGGCTTAGGGGGCCTGGAGGACTGGGGGGGTCCGGGAGGGCCTGGGTGTCTGGAGGGCTGGGGGGTCAAGAGGGTTGAGGGGCCTGGGGGATCCTGGAGGGCGGGGGGCCTGGGGAAGGCCGCTTCGTAGGCTCCAGGCCCCCCTCCCCCGCCCCCCGCAGGCAGAAGCTTCGCCCGGACTCGGAGGAAGGCAGGCTGGGTGGTGACACCAGTAACCTGCGAACAGGCCGCACAAACAGCCTGGAGGGAGTGCAGCCCGCGTCCCTGACCCCACCCCCACCCCACCCACCTCCTTTGCCCCGAGGGCGGTGCTAACCCGCGCCGGCGACCCAGGGCTCGACCTGCCGGATCTGCAGCTCGGACGCTCCGCAGCTGCGGCACCTGCCTTTCCAGGGACACTGAACCCGGTGCTGCCCCGGCACTTGCGAGGGGGGAAACGGGAGGGAGGTCATGTTCCTTAAGCAACGGCAAAGCTGCTGCGGTCGGGATCTCCCCTCGGAACCCTGGCAGCTTAAGAGCATTCAAATTTGAGCTTTTTTCAAGCATCGTTGAAGTACCCCGGGAAGCTCCCCCTGATGAAAAGACTGTGGCTTCAAAACAAAACAAACAGAACCCACCTTATTGGAGCCTCGGGTCTTTACACAAAACGCCTTCTTTGTTGCACAATTGACAGCAACAGTTTTGCAGAAGGGAAGCAGTGGGTGTGAGGATTTACCGCTCACCTGCGCCCAGAGCCCTACTCCTCAAGGGTCGCTCCCTTAAAACAAACAACAAAAATCTCCTTGTCCCCTAAACAATACAGATGTGACCTACTTAGTGCTGTGCCTATTTTCTAGGACAGTATATAAGTTAGGGATATTTCTGTTCCTGCAAAGTATTAGCTAAAGATCTGGAACTGTTGAACCAATTAAGAAAGCAGAGAATACGGAATAAACAGTTCCTAAAATGTTAAGGACTGTGGCAATTTGCCTTGCAAATTAGCTTCAGGGACACTTAGCCGTGAAGCTGCTGGAAGGGCAGTGCCTAAGGGCCTGTGAGCTTCTAGACGGCTCGCAAAACTTGTATGCCTGGGGGAAGAAATGGATAGACTCCGAAACACTGATAGATACTGATATATGTTTAATTAATATTTTTTGTTTAAAATATAACGTGTCAATTGCAAGTCCTCTCCAGGCAGATGTAACTGTACAGAGGCATGTTTTTATGTAAAATGTCTAGGGACCCAGGAGCGTCTAAAACGTCCTTATTAGGGGCGCCTGGGTGACTCAGCGGTGGAGCATCTGCCTTAGGCCCAGGGCGTGATCCTGGGGTCCTGGATTGAGTCCCCCCTCAGGCTCCCTGCAGGGAGCCTGCTTCTCCCTCTGCCTGTGTCTCTGCCTCTCTGTGTGTGTGTCTCTCATGAATAGATAAATAAAATCTTAAAAATAAAATAAAACAGTCCTTATTAGTTTACCTCCTAATATTGGTGAGCAAAACCTGGGTTGTATAAATATGAATATTTTATTTAGTGTTACTGCAATAAAGGATTCTTTAAAAGTTAGCACCAATATAAAATGCTCTAAATGATGCCCTTTTTTACTCTTATAAATTGAGGAGAGTTTATTAGATGGCAGCTTAGTATTATGTATTGAGGATTCTTACGACTCGGCAATTTCATGTTCGCGTGTATTCCTACGTGTGTGCAAAGATGAGCCAGGATGTTCTTTATACGTATTTTTGCCATTTTTAATATCAAAAGTATGGAAAACAGCTTAACTATCCAACCATAGGAGAGCGGTCAGTGAGCTATGGTATAGTTCTGTGATAGCCACCGAGTGGCAGCAAAGTAGGAGACTGATGCCAACTGGCGTGTCCTGAGCTCTAATTTCTGACACAATAGAACAAGTTGCAAAGCAAAGTATATGTTATGCTTCCTTTTTTTTTTTCAAAACACTATATACCATGTTGCATTGTTTTTAGGCAGATATATGATTTAATGTGTATAGAAACCATTCTGGCAGTAGAGAGCCATGGATCTCTAGTCAGAAGGTAACTTTCTTCATGTTTATTTGCTTTTGTGTTCCATTTTCGTACCATGGGCCTATTTTACCTTTTCAATAATAATAATACTGCCAAAAGTCCTAATTCAGAAATTGCCGTTAAGCAAATTATTTAGCAAAATAACTTTTTTTAAGATTTTTTTTTTTATTGATTTGACAGAGAGAGCACACAGGCAGGAGGAGCGGCAGGGAGAGGGAGAGGGAGAAGCAGGGTAGAGGCAGTGGGAGAAGCAGGCTCCCCACTGAGCCAGGAGCCCCACAGGGGGCTTGACCCCACGACCCTGGGATCATGGTGGGAGCCAAAGGCAGGTGCTTAACCGACTAAGCCACCCAGCAAAAAACTTTTTAAATAAAAAGGATAGCCACTTTAGAGTAAATGCCTGGGATGTGTGCCAATTTTTCATGTAAACTAGCTTGTAAACAACAAAATAGCATCATAATACCTACTGAAAAACTATTAATTCTAGAAACTGGGATTCAGCAGGGTCATATATTTTAGAGGAAATGGGAGACTTCTCATTTTTTATATTACTCCTTAAGCCTCTCATACAACACAAAGTTCATTATTACTCTTGTAATATATGCTTTTAGAAACTATGAAAATGTCACTGTACTGCTTGCATATGTACACAAAGACCTCAACTACTCTCGTTAAAGGCCGGCTGTGGATAATGATATTGTGACTGCAGAGTGCAAACAGCACAATAAGGACCTGGGGGGGGGGGGGGGCTGTCCACATATTATTATTGTCAGTACACATATGGAAAATTACTAGATCCATTTTGTTTTATCTCAAAGGGAAAAAAGTCTTGCTCTCCCTTAGACTTTTGCAAATGGAATTATAAGAAGGGAATTGGGGGCCCAGAGAGAAGTCCTAAAGAGCTTAATTTGTGGGTTTGTAGATCACTGCAGGGGGCCAAAGCCCTCCAGATATCACTTATGACACACACCTTCACTTGCCAGTGGAAACAAGTTTTAAAAATAACAACAAAAAGAAGCAATCTGGTTTTGATACGACATAATTGGAAGTGACATATCATGAGAACAAAAGTCTTAACACCGTGATGCAATTACTAAATTTAATATCAAAAGAGACATTGGAGAGCGAGTTTCTAGCACAGTTGCTTTGTTTTAGTGAAGAGATGCAGAAAATAGAAGTGACGTGCTCATGCGAACACACTCAGTGAGTATCTGGGCTGAGAATAGGACAGACTTTCAGGCATTTGGGACGAGAAAGTAAAACAGAAATCATTAGAATGCATCCTGCAGCGATATAAAAGGAGCAAAATGTGACTGGAAAATGTAAGGAACGACCGACTCAGGCACTTTGGGCCATCAGTAAACAGTAAAGAGTTTTGGCGTCGGAGCGCTTGGGTTTGAAGCTCGGCCCTCGCACCTGCTCTCTGTGACCTTGAGCGGTCAGTGTACTTAACCTTCGTCTCCGTTTCCTCCTACGTAAAATGAGAAAAATAGTAATATCGACAGTTCTCAAAAAAAAAAAAAAAAAGTCCTTAGAAGCCCACGGCAGGCCAGAGATAGGGTACTGGGCAGGTGGCCTGAAGGAATAGCCCTGAGGTCAGAAAGCTACTTTTTTACGTGTTTGACATTTTGGTATCTTTGCGGAGGGATGCTGCTCTCAGGCCTCGTCGTCCACTGGAGAAAGGGGGTGAGGTCTTTTTCCACAGCTCACAAACCACCACAGAGATAAGACATAAAACATATGATAAGGTGACTCGAGCCGTCCAGACAGGCCGAAACCTTTTTCAACTGGCAATATAGCAGTTGGAAAGCTCTTGACATTGGTGCCGACAATTTTATGTCACAGAGAAGACATTTCAAAGGGAGTAGCTCCCCATGTTGCAGGACTGCCTGGCCTACTGCAGAGCAGGTATCCTTCCTGGCGGCCAGCTGCACCCCCCTCCACCCCCCACCCCCCCCATTTCCACCAACGCCAGTTGAGAACCATGGCTGCAGGAACTGAGGGACCATTCTGAGTTTAGTCTCTCCAACAAGAACAGATTGGTAATGGAGACATATGAGAACTTGAGGAGAAAAGGACTTCTTATCCTGAAGATTGTGGTATCTAGGAAGAGGAAAGCCAGATATATATGGCATACTAGACCAAACCGCCCCAAACTATGCCCCTCGGAATATCTGAATATCTGTTAAAAACAAAAACAACAACAACAACAAAAGGCTCTTTGGCCAAAACTGTTTGGAAAACGCCACATATTCAGTCATCTTTAGATTCCTAATGCCCATTCTTAGCATGATTATAAATGGTCAGAGAGGCCTCACGCTAAGAAACCAAGTATGAAATATTTCAAAAGGGAAAACTCTTTTCTCCATATACCTCTTAATATGTTCTCTTCCTACGGCCCTTTTCCCATTTCTGCTGTAACAGTGTTCTGTTAACAATTTAAAATGAGCTTTTCTGCACAGGTTTAAAATATTTAAGAAAAGGCATAAAATAATAAGAGAAGATAGGTCAAGAAATTAGTAGAGAAATTTCAACTCTTCCACTATTTTTTTTTTTTTTTTTTATGTAACAGGAATGTCAGTA